CTTGCGTAGATCAAAATTTAGTCTATAGCTGGAATTGCCTATTGCAGGGCAGCTGGTTCAATTTCTGCTGTATCACGTCTAGCAGTAAAATTCATGTATTTTCATTCTCTACTTTACAGGCGAAACTGACTCGACAGCAGAATGAATTCACAGTCAAACTGAAGGAACTCGAAGACTCTTTGCTTTCTCGTCTGTCTGCCGCCGGCGGGAACTTCCTTGGCGATACCGCGCTTGTTGAGAACCTGGAAACTACTAAACGTACCGCAGCTGAGATCGAAGTACAGGTCGCCGAGGCCAAGATTACGGAGATTAAGATTAACGAAGCCCGTGAGCAGTATCGTCCAGCCGCTGCTAGAGCATCTTTGCTATACTTCATTTTAAATGATCTCAACAAGATTAATCCAATCTACCAGTTTTCACTAAAGGTATGGTATGGTATGGTATGGTGTGTTTGGGGTGGTTTAGTATGGTGTGGTATGGTAGAGCATGGTGCGCTGTGGTGCGGTATGATATGGTATGGTATGGTGTGCTGTAATATGTATGGTATAGTATGGTATGGCATGGTTTGGTGTGATATGATTTTGTATGGTATGATATGTTATGGTATGGTATGGTATGGTATGGTGTGATGTATGTAGTCAGCTGTGCTATGGTGTAGGGTGGTATGTTCTGGTGTGGTGTGGTGTAATTCATATGGTATTGTATATATGGTAAAACTAAATTTCATGACATTTGTTTTTAGGCATTCAATGTCGTGTTCCAGAAAGCAATTGAGCGAGCTGAGCCCGGTGAAGAAATCAAGATTCGTGTGGATAACCTTATTGATTGCATCACATATTCTGTGTTTATCTATACCACTCGTGGTCTGTTTGAAGCGGATAAGCTTACGTTTACAGCACAAGTTGCTTTTCAGGTATGTCGAAACCAAATTCTAGGTCATGGCTAAGACAACTATGGCGATGAACTGCATTGATGTTATTAGTAGCAAATACTTAAAGAATTGTACATGCTTTTTCTGTGTAGATCCTGTTAATGAGAAAGGAAATCAGTTCAACAGAATTGGACTTCTTGCTTCGTTTCCCGGCCGCTGTGAATGTTACAACTCCGGTTGATTTCCTCTCAAACCACTCGTGGGGAGGCATTAAGGTGAGTGGTAATAATTGTCATTGTATACCAACTGTCAAAGTTCATGTATCCTTGCGTCTTTTTGCAATTGGGTATTTTTGTATTCAATGGAGGTAAGTCATTGTTTCAAGTACGAGTAATCCCATTCCTCACACAGCATTAAGCAAACTACCATAGGTCCAACAGACAACTTGCATGTTAGATCAATTTTTGATGTAGGCAAAAAAAGTAAATTCCCTTAAAGAACTTGTTAAAATTAAAATTAATTTAGTAAAATTGCAAAATTTGGTTACGAAATGTTGTAAAATACGGAAAATATAGCCTTGCGAAGTTTGCATATTTTGTATATGTTTGTATTACGTGCGGAAATTGTTACCATTTTTGAGCCGAAAATGGTGACAATTTCCGCTCGTAATACAAACATATACAAAATTTACAACTTTGCAAGGCTATATTTTCTAAGCTTTATATCATTTCGCAACCAAATTTTGCAATTTTTATACTAATTTCATTATGTTCCTTATAGCTGTGGTGTTTGATTCCCTTCTCTTTATACAAGTTTAGGTGTGATTATCAGGGACTCATTTGTTTAGAACTTTTACTGATATATTTAAGAGGGGAGCTTTCTTTTTGTTCGGTGTTTATATCACACCTATCCCTTGCTCATATCCATTCTCTACAATTGTTTATTATCAGGCACTCAGCAACATGGAGGAATTCCGTAATCTGGACAGAGATATCGAAGGTTCGGCCAAGAGATGGAAGAAGTTTGTAGAAAGTGAATGTCCCGAGAAAGAGAAATTCCCTCAGGAATGGAAGAATAAAACAGCGCTGCAGAAACTGTGCATGATGAGAGCATTGAGACCAGACAGGATGACATACGCTGTGCGGTAAGTAGTCACTCAAGTCTGGATCGCTTGTGCTGACAACTTCACCAAACAAATTTTGAGTCGATGCAATGGGCAATTCCAGCTATAGACTAAATTATAATCTAGGCAAGAAGATCGAGAAGGCCGAGATCAAAATTTAGTCTATAGTATAGCTGGAATTTCCCATTATTTCTCCTTGAGTTACGGAATTTTCAACAATTTCTAGAAATTTCATCGAAGAGAAACTTGGTAATAAATACGTCGAGAACAGAACTATCGAGTTCGCGAAATCGTACGAGGAAACAGGTCCTGGTACTCCTGTGTTCTTCATCCTATCCCCTGGTGTTGATCCGTTAAAAGATGTTGAAGCTTTAGGCAAGAAACTAGGCTTCACCATGGATAACAGAAACTTCCACAATGTCTCACTTGGTCAGGTATGCAATTGAAGATGGTCAAGCTTTTGTATATTGAAATTCTGTTGCTGTAATACCGTGTTTCTCTAAAGGTGACAGTATGTTGTCTTTTTCACAGGGTCAAGAGATTGTTGCCGAACAAGCGTTGCAGTTGGCAGCAAAAGAAGGGCACTGGGTCGTTCTGCAGGTAGGAGTGTCGTGTCTGCTTATTACAAAGTTTGCAATGGACAAAATTACGTAACTTTTTATTTCTATCCAATTTACAACGATAGATATCACTCATCCTCTGTAGTCGTCCACATGCCTAGTAAATGTGGATGAGTACGGTGGTGTAAAATGCACTAAGACTCTAACTACAATTGTAATACCCATTCTTTGGAAAATATTATATTTATTCTATATAAACAAGAGTCGAATGATTTTATGTAAAAATTAATACAAATTATAGTGGCCGTCAATATTTTCTCAGATGAAACACACATGGTGGATCCCTTTGAGTTACAATCTTAGCATGCATGGACAATGTCCCAGATTTTGACAGAACAATCAGCAGCTGTTGTCGCTAACTGGTTAGCAATCAACCAGCTAGCGACATGTTTACTTTTAAAAGTAAAAGTAAAAGTAATAAACAATAAAACGACTTGAGTAAAAGTAAGAAGTACTGGAGGCAAACGTACTTAAGTAAAAAGTACACTTTGTCCTTAAAAAATACTTGAAATAAAAAGTAAAAGTAAAGTACTATTGTCTGTAGCG